CACTCCCTCCCAACTCAGTGTCATCTGCACTGATACAAACAAACCCCTCACAAGCACTAATATTACTTGTGCTAAGATTGACCAAAGCTATCAATCCTCCAGCTTCAATGCACAAATTGTTCACCCACAGTTTGGTTCAGAGTGCAGAATTTACCACTTCCCATCTAATAGAGTTGACTTCTTCTGAACTACTTAGCCTTGGGTAGAATAAAAGCCCTGATGGATCACTTCTTTATTGCAGCATGGCAATCCTTAGGCCAATGGCTTTGCTTAAAATGCTCAGAAAAATAAATACTGTTGGGGATGGATTCAAGCTTGCCTTCTTGAATAATGTTACGTCTCTAGAGCCGGGCAAAGTATGTCCATATTTGGTGTAATGTTCATGCTCTCCATAGAGCTGCTCTCGGAAGTCAGGAATCTGCAGTGTTTAGACTTTAGGATGATGAGTGTTTATAAGGGATTTCATTGCAACTGGAGGCCAACAATAGCAAAAGAATCCTGCTAGGAGCTTAAAATAGAAAGTTGCAGAGTGAAAGAGCTCTTCGGCTGCGTAGGAATTTGGGGAGAGGAGGGAGGGAAGGGGAATTTAGTTAAATGTAGTATAGGTCTCTTGCAAGAAGAAAATGACAACAATGAACATGAGAAAGACACAACTGGAAATCAAATGCAATAAAGGAGTCTGCAAAGCAAGGCCTGCTTTGGTGACAGGGGATGTTGACATTCCTCAATGCACTGCTATCCCTGTGTCTGTTCTAGTGCCTCAAATAAAATGCCTACCTTAAAAGAACGTTGGACAATTTACTATTTCATCTAAAGCTCACTGCCCGAGCTTGCATTCTCGTTATCATTTTGCATTCAGATTTACACCACTGTGTTTTAAACGAATATAAACCAAGTACAACTAAGACCTAATCTGGAGAAATAACATTTACATGCGAAACAAAGGCAGTTATGCAAAAGAATTATGGGGGCAGAACAGCACACAGTCAGCTGGTGTAAAACATGCATCACCCTGTGGCTTGGTGCCCCCCTGTTTTAGCTGCCAGGAGGCATTTGCAGGTTACCTGGCAGCCCATGCAATATCAGAAAAGTAAACTCAAGCGTAGAGCTCCGTGAATCATAATGTGATGGAAGGTTAATATAAGTGACAAGTGGACAGGGGATATGATTTATGCCAAAGGTTTTCCTGGAAAAGAAGGATTTTGCGACACATGAAGAAAAGAAAGGTTGTACTTAAGACTTGGTTTATTCTAAATTCATTGAGGAAAAGAAACATTGCTGCGCAGGCATTAACCTCATGTTTATATCTGTTAATGGAATATTTGAAAAATCCAGACTGTTTTACAGTCTGAGAGTCAGGAGAGGAAATATTTGGACTGGTCTTTTCCTAGTAAAAGCTGAGCTCACTCTCCATTAACCTTATCTCTGCTTTTTTTTACACAAAAGCAGGGAAAACAAGCTTTTTGGCTGGGACAAACGCTTCTCTGGTCCTCAGGTCCTCTGCTACCCCTCAGTGCTGTGTTGATGGGTGACTCTCACCTTCGGCTGGTTGTAGTGCTCCATCGACATGGTGATGACGTTGACCCCGATGATGAAGGTGATGAAGAGGTCGAGGTAGTGGCTGGTGCAGAGGGTGTGAATGTACTTCCGCGCTGGGGAGTAGTCAGCGTAGTAAGGCCTGCGCTGGGCTTCTGCAGAAAGAAAGAGAAAGAAAGGCAGCGCCATGAACGCAGGCCCTGGGGCATGGTTGGCAGCCATCACAGTGCGGCCTGCAGCCACCACAATGTGGCCTGTGGGGTTGTGTCTTATGCACACCCAGATTCAGCACGTGGAAGAACTGATTCAAATGTAAAATGTAAACCTGATTCATGTAAAATGGTCAAATACTTCTGCCTAGAGCCTTCAAGAACAGAGGGGTTATCAGGCTAAGCCAAACCTCTTGTGCCTGCAGGAGGGGCCTCCACAACCAGGCCGGTTTTTCTCCCAGATGCTCTCTTGTCCTGACTGCTCGCTCTCTGCCTACAGGACAACCTTTTCACTTAATGGGACTCGTCACAAACCAGGAAGGGTGAGAAGCAGGATGGAAATGAGACCCAAAGCCAATAAAAAGCTTCAAACCCAGCAAAGATTCAACTCTGGTTCAGAGGAAGGGCTGAGGGCAGGCCTCACTGGTCTGGACCATGATGTGCCACCTCTCCTAGTCCCACTGATGTCAGGCGTGTTCCACATAGGTAAGAGAAGAACAAAACCTGAGCTCAGCTTAAAGGATTTTAAAGGACTTTAAAGGTCTAAAGCAAACAGAGCGATGCCTGTGGCATAGAAGGATGCACGCGTGAGGGTTGGCAGCACACAGGATGGCATCAACAGCAATGGAGTGGGGCGCTCAGCAGCTCTCTTGACATTTGGCTTGATATTTGTCAGCACAAGCTCCTCTGAAATACAAGAACAAGGGCATGGTTGCATCTAACAAACCATGCAGGCTATGAGCACATGAATTTTGTGTCTCTGCCTCTGGTCATGACTCCTCCTTTCTTGTTTTTGAAATGGGGAAATTTCTACACATGACCAAGTTCCCAGGGTTGTTTCTAAGTGTGTTTGGACACTGCCCTGCGACCGAGTCGTATTTACTGCATGTGCCTCTCCTAAATGAGGCTGTGACCACGAGATGGCTGTGGGCACTCGGATGGGGTCAAATTCTTTTCAGACTTCAGAAATGTAAATATTCAAAGAGAGTACTTAAGGCCAAAGTCAGCGTTATTCTAGATTTTGCAAGTGGAAGAGATGTGTTCGGTCGTACTAAGTCAGAGCAGGGTTGTTCTTAATAGAGAGGGATTTTTTTTTTCTGCAAATGTTTCAGCAAATTCAGCTTTAAATGCATGAGGAGATGGGAAAAAGGAGTTGCTTCACCTAAAAAATAAGGAGGGAAATAGGTTCAGAAGTACTCAGTGACCTCCTGAAACACATTTTCCACTCCTTTCATCTTGCTAATAACTTTCAGATGAACTCAGCTTTGAAATGTGGGTTTTTTGGGTTTTTTTTTGGTAGTACGACTGATGCCAGATTAGAGTCCAAAACCCTAAAACAAATTGGATAAAGGGAAACTGAATCTGCTGCTCTCTTTCAACTCCTATTTTTTCTGGTAGTTAAAAGTGGAGGCATTTGCAAAACATTTCCTTCTGACTGGGGTCACCTGGACTTATTTATTCTGCTAATGGGTGTGGAAAAACAAGATGAAAGCAAACACAATGGTTTTTTAACTACATTTTTCTGGTGCTTTCATGTGCCTTAGTCCTACCAGTCATCTTGGACTGGTATGGCTGTCTTTGCTACTGGGCTCAGCTAATCTTCCGGTGTATCTAAAAAATAATAATAAAACCATTATGGTGTAATATTTATTTAAGTCTGTACAATGTGCTTTCATGTGTATTCAGGATTGCAACATAATTTTCCCTTTTTTTTTTTGGAAACGTCTTCTTGGGAATGCAAAAAAAATCCGCTTGTTGGGAGGTCTGAGAATACCCCAAATGGTCAAACTTGATATTAAGGGATTATTTATTAATGGCTAATGGTTGATTAATGGATCTCAGGAGAACATTAGCAAGTGTTGGGCAGTGTGTGACTGCACTGGCCATAAGCATTTAAGGCAAACAGGCTGTAAGTGACTGCAACTGCTCTCTGATCTGCCCACATGCAGCTATTGATTAACTATTCAGCAAAAGATCAGGTGTTTATTATGTTTTATGAACCACTTATGTCACTCTAAAGCATAATCACAAGAAGACATTTCCCACTGTAAAGCTGCTGAACAGAAAACCTTCTCGGCTGCCTGTCAGCTCTCCCTTTACATGGGCTGGACATAGAAACAGTACGGAGGAACCACCCAGCCATAGAGGTGGGTCTTGTTTTATTGTGGCAAGGTGTCTCAGAGGTCTGTGGCTGTACATTTGGCCTGTGTCTGGTTAATGGATTGCTTAAAAAACCTGGGACAGGTTTAACTTGACCTGGGATAAGGGAGCTCTAGGAAGTGCCTCACTTGTTTAGGATGCGCTACATCTCTGCAGCCAGGTTAACAGATGAGAAAGAAACTTCTCCTGGGGACACACATACAAGGACAGTCTGGGGTAAAGTCGACAATGCTTTGAAACACATGCAACACCACCGGCATGCTCAGTGCAGGAACCCATGCAATGTCCATTAGAGGAGATACCGCTCATGCGAGGCTAACGGTAGTGAGCAGGGGGGCGCAGGAAGGCCAGGCCAGCATCTGCTCTTGGGTGCTGGTGTGGGTCAGGACAATCCCATGAAGGCAGAGGGGTTACAGCAGGATGAAAGCAGTGGGAGATCAGCCACGCAGCTTCACGGCAGCCCTGACCCACTCCGAGCAGAGGAAGGCTGCGTTTCGGTGCCCCAAGGTCCCCAGCTCTGCTGGGTCATTCCCAGTCCCTTTGGGAACAGGAGTTTTCACTTCAGCCAACTGCACAACAAGTGGTTCTGGCCTCCCCTCAGTTCAAATGCACTTTTTAAACTCTTAGTGAGAATACACTACATTATTCTCCCCAGTTTGGGTGTAGGTGTTCACCTACAGCTCCAGCCTGCTCAACCAGAGATGCTGGGTTGGCACGAGAACCTGTATGGGGAGAAGAGTGGACCATGGGGAGGTGGGCACAGCAAACGAAGGAGATCCAATGCCCCATTAATTAGAGTGGGGAAATCGTAACCTGTGCCTGATTTCTCCATGGAAAGAACTCCAATCAGCCAAACAGGAGACTTACATCAAGCACAGACCAGTAGCCCTTCAGCTGCAGCTGGTGGTTCAAACTGGTGGAAACGCAGAAGGAAAAGGAGAAACCATCAAACGTGCAAAAAGAAAAGCACAGTCCTTTCTCGCCCCCACTTCTCAATGCTGGCTAATGGTTGAGTCTCACCTCTCTGCAGAGTATTTAAACTTCTTTGCTTGGGATTCTGCTGACATGAAAATTAATGAAGCGCCGTCTCCTAGCTTAAAAGCATTTAGGTTGGCATTGCAATTGCTAGCTACAGCTCCTCCATTATTCTTCTCAGCATGAACCATTAGAAAGCCCTAATGGGTTTATATGCATGCTTGGCACAGAGTAGCTCTATACCTGCAGCCGCCTGGAAAAATAAGCAAGATGGTTTGATAATTCCCTGGTTGGAAATATGAAACACTCAGATACGCAGTGCCCAACATTTTAGTTACAGCTCAAATGTTTCTGCTGGATACAGAGATGGCTGTGGCATTGAGAGGATGGGCTAATTTAAATACCACTGTGTGCTGCCCACGATTGCTCGCCCCTAGAGAGAAAGGCTTACAGTCTCTGAAACGCTTCTCTGCTGGGTCTTACAACAAAACCGGCCTCTTCCTTCTGCAATGCCCAGACACTCAAGTTCTGTGTTGGGGAATCATGGAATAACAGAATCATAGAATAATTTGGTTGGAAAAGACCTTTAAAATCATCGAGTCCAAAATGCCTCAGAGAAACACGGCTGCAGCCACGCTCCTCTCGTTCAGAGCAGAAATCAGGAAACAGCATCTCCTTTTCCGAGTTCTCAGGTTTTGGGGCCTTCCCAGGGACCAGTGACTTGGTGACACTACCAAAAGGCACTCTCTGCTCCCCAGCCAGGGCCTCCTGGGGCTGTATCAGGCATTGCCTGCGCTGCATTCGGCACACGGTGTCACCCAGACCCTGCCCGCAGCCTTCAAAGCCTGTGTTTGACCTGACATCACGCCGGCGACCGCAGGTTCACAGCAGATACAGCCAGGATGGATTTGGCCCCGTACCCTGAACGCAGGGGAGATCAAACCAATCCATGTGGTTTTAATCAAAAAACTTTAATCTAGGGAGGCTGGTTTCAGTCTGTGTCTTCCGAAAACCTCATTAAAAGGTTAGGAGCTGCAGGATTATTAAATTACACTACACTTATTTAAGCAGTAGATACAGTGGATGGAGGCAGCAACTGCATCAGAAAAATACTCTCGTTTATCTTGAATTTTTACCTTCACGTGAAAAAATGCAGTGGTGATTTCCCATCCCACCTGCATGGGGTCTGGTGAAGGAGCTGTGTCCTGCTGCAGGGCTGTGTCCTCCATGGAGCAATCCCTCTGCCAGGCTCCCAGCGCCCAAATCCTGGCCCCAGCCTGCAGAGCTTGGGATTCTTACCCAGGGCCTGCTCGGATGGGACCATCCAGGCACTGGTGAGCTGAGGTTTAACCCATTTCCAGCGCTCAATGTACGTTTCTGTGTGTGCAGGTACCTACAGATGCCTGAAGACACAGGGATGCCACACACAGAGGACATTACAGACAGGAGACGGGACACAAAGACAAGGTGCCAGGCAGACAGGGCGAGTCCAGATGGGTGGGTGTTGCTCAGATGGTACCTCTGTTAGCTCTGCTGGCTTTCACTCTTGTTAACAGCCCTAATTCTTCCTTCTCTTACGGTGTCCTTCAGGCCAAATGCTAGAAATGGCAACTGAAGTATAAGCAGGGCTCTTTGCTGGGCTCCTTGCTCCTCCACAGAACCACTGGTCTCGTGTGCCCATCCTGCCCAGTGGGGACCGGTCTCCCACCCGCTCCTCTGTACGGGTGACACACGCAGCGCTGGGGCACATGGAAAGCTGGCCAGCCCCCCGTCATCACGCAGCACCCCATGCCTGGATGTACACACAGACACTCCCCCATAGAGACTCTGCCCCGCACGGCACCAACCACATCTCGCATCTTTCTGAGTCTGCCACGGTTTTTTTCACCAAATCCATCAACTCTTAAATGACCCAGGAGGTGAAAACTCCCATTTAAATTTAAAAAAAAATCCATTCAAATGCAAATAGCAATCTTCCAAAATGGGTATCAGGTATTTCGTTTCACCTTGTTAACAACTCAAATTTGGATGCCAAGCTGTCCATGCTGCACAGAGGCAGGTAGGAGACCTCCGAGCCAGATGATCTGAGGTAACCTCCTGGAAGCCCAGCACATGGCCAAACGTTTAGCCTCTCAGATGCTATACTGGACTTGATCTCTTTCCAGAGAGCTGTCCTCCTCCCTGTGTTCTCCCAGTGAAATGTTACAACCCACGTCTGTGCAATGCCTGGGTCCAAAAGATCTCCTTGGCTCTGTCCTTCGAGATAGCTGGATAAAGAGGGGCAATGTGACAGTGTCCATCACTTTGACAGGGACTGGCTTATTTTGGTGTCTGAGCAGTGAGCCACAGATGGGCTTCTAATAAGATTTACTTACTAATCAGGAACAGCAACTGGCTGTGGTTAAGCTATCCCTCCTCACCTGTGTCCCAGTCTGTTTTCTCGAGGCATGCTTAATGTTCTTTGTAAATAAGCTTTTTTTTAATATATAAACTTTGAGTTTATCTGAATGTCTACCCCAGCACATTGGGGTAGAAATGCTGCAAAAGCAGGAGGACCCTTGAGAGCCTGAAACGGATTTCTCTTCTTGTGCTGGAAATGCCGCCTTCAGGATTTCCACTCCTAATCCTAGCTGGAACCTCGGACTCAGAAACCAAAAATGGGAAAAGAGGAATGAAATTGCATCTGAACTCCTCTAAGTCTCTGTAGAGACTGAACTTCTGTTTGCAGCTGGCGAGTTCGATCTCGATTTCATTTTAACCCAGCTGCTTAACTCACAAGTAGCTAAAATGAAATGGGCTTGGTGGCCTTCACTGTGGTATCGGGTCAGTTTGTCATTAAGGCCCTGTGGAGACCACGGCACAGACATTTCATGCCGAGGTCTCCATGGCTCTAATAAAGAGGAGCAGGAGAGGAGCTGTGCGGGATACAGCTCCCTGCCTTCTGACTCAGGCATGGACTGGTGGAGGAAAATGCCTGGGGTTTCTACCTGCAAAGCCTCTGACTGTTATGTCCTTAGAGCCAGGCAAAAGACTAATTGATCTAACTGTGGTTTGCTCAGCTGAAAATGGACACCTATGACTTGGGAGGTAACTGGCCATTTGTCACAGTGAGATATTAACTCCTTACAGGAGATTGCACGGCGCTAGGCAAAGAGCCACAGGACTGCTGCGGCAAGCAGGGCCAGAAGCGCTCAAGCCTTATCCCTGACTGAGCTCCTCTTTCATCACAGTGGCCAAGCTACATTCCCTCACTTAAAAAAATGCTTGCCAGCATCTAATGCAGGCTGTCTCTGTTCTCTGGCACTGGCCGGGAAGTCAGCGTGGCATTTTACCAGGGAATACTATGCCATAGGCAGCTTGGCTCTGGTGGAGCCTGCCAAGGAGCAGTGGAGGTGAGAATTAATTCATGAGAACCCCTGGGAAGGTTTGGGTCAGGAAAGGAGCACAAGCTCAGGTGTTTTTCTGGTCTGGTTTGATGGTCTCTACTAGATCTGCTAAGAAGCAGATCTTGGCTAATGTTGCACCCTAATGGCCCTGCATCTGGCCAGTATTTCCACGTAGGCTGTTTGCAAGGACAAACCGAGTCCCAGCACATCGCTCAGCAGTGAAGCGCTCCCCCAGCCTCTCTCGTAATGCATCTCTTGTAATGGACATCTCCCAGAGAAGAATTTTCTGGGCAGCCCCACCTTGGGGCTCCATTCCTCTCCCCGGGGCTGTCGGTTTGTTCATGCCGTCATGCAGCATGTTGGTGGCATGCGGGGCCATGCGCTAGGACTCTAAAAAGCATCGCAATTATTTTGTCTAAGAAAAGAATTAAGAAATCAAACCACCACCACCACCACCACCACCATCAGATGCAAGCGGCACGTTAAGCCACGGGGCCACCCTCGGGACTGACCTTCACACACGCAGTAAGCATTGCGGCTGTTTACTCACTGCACCCCTCGGTCACGCTGCAAACCCAGTGCTTGGGCCACCTCTGCCTTGCAGAGCGTGACAGAGGACTCTGCTCGGAGGAGGATTTTCTCCCCAGCCAAGTAAACAGGTAATGCTTTACATCAGGCTTGTAGAGGACAATTCCAGGGTGCTGGCGACCCAAGACTTAAGGTACCGCCAAACGAAGCAAAACAGCCTCTTGAATCCCATGGAAACAAAACCAAAGGAAAACGAAAGTCTTGCTTTGGGAGCAGGCAGGGCTCAGAAAGATTTTGGTTTGTAATGCAGTCTACCGACCAGACAGGTATATCTCCTTACTCCTGCGCTTTTTCTCCAAGCGTCTCAGCCGCTTCTCCTCCCGACGCCGGGCCTCCTCCGCCTCCTGGTGCTGCCGGCACTTGTGGAAGTTCTCCACCACCACTCCCACAAACATGTTGAGCACGAAGAAGCTGACGATGAGCAGGAAGGAGATGAAGTAGAGAAGCATCCAAGGGTTATGGTTCTGGATGGGCTGGGGAGGTGGAGAATTAAAAAACAAGAGAGAAGAGAAGCAGCGTAGACAAGATGTGTATAAGTCGGGATAGTGGGCACTCTGTAGCAACAACACAGCACAGTACACTGTTGTGGGAAGGAGGAGAGTTAAAGATAGGCTCCAGCTTATTTTTATTGAGATGTGGGCTCATGGTTAATGTCTCTCAGTTGTTGTGAGCTCTTCAGAAGCAAGGGAAACAAAGTACAAAGTGCTGCTGTAGCTACGATGGGGCACTACTCATCTATGACTCTTGACTTTCCTTTGCAAATACCACATAACAAGCAAACTTTAAAATGCCTCTTTCACAGTGTTCCTGACTGTTTCCCATCTTGTGTGAGTTTGCTCTTATCCATCATGCCTTCCCTGAAGCTGCAGTGCAATGGCACACGTGGGCTCCCTCAAGCACCCTCCTCAATTATTTCTAATTAAAAGCCCCATCAGTGCTTGTTTCTGTGCTCAGTGGAGAATGGAAAACCTTGGCAGCCCAATGGGCAGTCAGGACCTCAAGAAGGTCTATAGCTCTGCTCCTTCCTGGGACTTCAAATACACCAGTGTCACCCAGGCATGGGACTTCTGAGGGCAACACATGTGGACTCTGCAGTGCATTTACCTGTTGGTCAATACCCACGGCATCCAAGCCATCGTACATGATGTTCACCCAGCCATCTTTGGAGGAGAGGACAAACAAGGACATGAGGGCCTATAGGAAAACAAACAAACAAAGTCTTGCATTTTAGTCCTCGGAAAAGAAACTAACAACAGACATTGCTCAACAAAACCAATCCACAGCTCGTAACACATCACCTGGCCTGGAGTTGGTGGAGAAATGCAACACATTGTGGCTTGCTTTTACCTATTCCCATATCTGGCTTAAAAGCCAGCAAATTATGGTCATCAGTGCTCCTTTTCCTCAAATATAGGCTGACTTTTGCATCAGGCTTTCTGGACACTGAAGCATGATTAAAAATCAATATGTCAGGTCTGCCCAATGTCATGGGGGTTTAAAAAGCAATGACATATCCCAGCGCCTACTGTGGGCTGTCCTGCTTTTCAGCAAGCATTAAACACTTATTATTATCATTTGTAAACATAGCAGCGAGATGTCAAAAGACTAAAAGTGGCAGTTGAGGTCCATACGTGAGGGACTGCATGGAAAACAGTGGCTTTAAGACTCTCCTATAAACAAGGCATTGTATAACCCTAAGAAGTCTGGCTGCAAGAGATCCAGAGGTGACCTGATCCATTTGTATTGTTAGGGTTGCTTCTGCTAGATGAATATCTACCTTGTTCTTTGAAACTTCTTATGATAAAGGCTCCACATCCTCCTCAAAGAATACATTTTAAGTGCTCATCCATTAAAAACCGGTACAGAAAATCCCTGCGATGAGGCCTTTACCTGTCCCAAGTTGTCAAAATTGTACTTCCGCCGAACCCATCTGTAGTGCGCGTTGGTGCAGTCAGTCTTCGTAGTGATGTTTTTCACATCAGGACCATCACAGTAGTAGAACTTGCCTTTAAAAAGCTGTATTTGAGAAGCAACAAAAAAAAGAGGAAAGCCAAAAAAGCAGCAGCTTTGAAGAGTCTGTCCCCTGATTTACCTTTCTTTCCTCTCCTAGATTTATTTGCAAAATTCAAATTCCTTCCCTTCCAGCAGATGCCAAACCCACCCTGGAGCATCTCTTCTAGGGCCTGGCTCTTCTTGCCTAACACCTAACCAAAATCTTCCTTTGGAGAGATTTAAGGTCATTACTTCTACCTTAAGCACAGGTAGTAAGAGTAAAAGCTGCTCTTTTGCATCAATCACAGAGAGAAATACTTTACCTGGACCCCTAAAATCCCAAAGATAATGAAGAAAGCACAGCAGATGAGAACAATGTTCCCAATAGGCCTCAAGGAGGAGATCAAGGTTTCTACCACCAGCTTCAGACCAGGGGCTCTGCTGATGACTCTGGAAAAAATGGCAAAACAGGAAAGCTTGTAATTTTTATGCGTGCAGTGTCATCATATGGTTGCTCTTCCTCCTCTGCTTGGGCTGCAGTGAAGCTAACACAACCCTTCTCCACCTTGCAGGCAGCATTCAGAGATGATTTGTAGCTTATTTGGACAAAACATTCACAGTCCCATTAGAAGGAATTAAAAAAGCATAAGACATCCCATCAGCAGAGCACTGGGCGATTGCTCAGTAGTAACAGTGAGGAGGGAGCGTGCTTCCTAACACACTGTGTGTAAACAGCTTCACAGTGGTACTACAGAGTCCTCTTTCTTGTCCCCTCTCTACAGGCATAAGCACTCACCTGCCCCACTGGCCTGGGCCCCACGACAACTTTTCAAATGAAGCAATTTCAATTTGTTCCTTAATGAGTTCCTGAACTGCCTCTTAGCTCACAGGACCCTGTGATCAACAGCTCCACAGCCAAAGGGTCATCCCATTAAAGAGCAGCTTGCTGCGAGGCCGTGAGAGGCCAGGCATGCCCTGAGCACGGCCTGAAGTAGTTTTTTTGGGTATTTTGGAGAACAAGTGTTTTCTGAGGCCGTGAGAGGCCAGGCATGCTCTGAGCACGGCCTGAAGTAGTTTTTTGGGTATTTTGGAGAACAAGTGTTTTCCTTTCCTATGTGGGTGCCTGGAGAATGGCTCTCCCATGGACGTGAGAAAAATGTGTTTGCACACAACTAGCCCAAGCAAGCTTTTGTGGGAAGGTGGGTGCTGAAGTTTTTTAGGAGGTGCCTGAAGAAGGGAGAGGGTCTGAGTCCTTGCTGGTAGCTTGAGCTTGCACAGCTAAAGATGCTTTCATGCCTGCCAAACACAGAGGAAAAAGGAGAGCTGTGTGTTGCAGGAATGGAGCATTTCACTAGGGTCTTGTCTGGCAGCAAATAACATGGCAGCCTGAACTGCACCTACAAAGTGTTAGGAGTGGTCTCTGGAGTAATCCTAGAGAAGGCCGTGGCAAGTAAAGCCATTGTGAGAGGGGATGAATTCCTCTCTATTAATAGGATCTGCCCTAGTTATTCTGCAAGGCCAACTCTCTTTTTTTTCTCTTTGTGCTTATGCTCTGATTTCTGTTCCTACTTATGTGTGTTAGGTGCCCTGAGGCACTGCCAGGCCAAGGCTTCTCCAGGGTGACCCAGAGCAGCTCCTGGTGAGGAGCTTGGGGACCCCGATGCCACCAGCAGAACACAGCACGGGAACAAGAGAGGAGACAGAAACCCTCACAAGCCACTTGTCATTAAGGAAATACAGAGCAGCAGACAAATAGCTGTTGTTCCTGTGGTCACGGGCCTAAACAAGATTGCCTCTTCCTATAACTCTCACAAGCAAGCTGCTTTTCATCAGAAAGCCTACAGGTCTCAGGAGGTGTCTATCTTATTTACCCTGAAATCTCCTGCAAAAAGGCTTGTGTTTCTTGCCAAGCAGGATGGGAACAGAACAGGAGCCGTGAGCTGATAAAAATCCCCCCAAGCATTAACACTCTTTGTTGCTGTATAATCATAAACACAATACAAATTCTCTTTATTGCTTTTCTCAAATACTGAAAGCGTCTCCTCTTCCTCGCTGAGAGCTAAATCGTTTTGCAGTAACGTTAGATATGCAGGCACGGGAGAGCAGGTATAGATGCTGGAGCTTATCAAATTATCGTCAGCACCTGTTCAACTGCAAATTTTCTCCCAGCCAACTCGACCTCTTTGCTTGGGAATGGCTGTGAGCTTGCGTGGTTGAACAAGGAGCCAGACTGATTTGTAAAACAGTGATAAAAATGCAGCGTGGAGGAGGCGTTCACTGCACTAACTGCCTCAGTACGATAACACCTCTCACTCTTAACTCCATCCGCTCTTTTCCATGCTGGAGAAGATGAATGATAACTAATTTCAGTGTTTTCAAACAGTTCCACTAGATAAGAGCTCCCCAAAGATGACTTTACCCACCCTGTGTTTCAGCTTTTTGTGTTATTAAGCAAGACCTTGATGGATCATGTGCATTTTTTCCAACGTGATCTATCAACACAATGAAAACTCAGCCACCCTAGGGCTGAACGTACCGGAGGGGTCTCAAGGTCCGCAGAAGTCTCAAAACACGAAGGACACCCAGGATCTTGGCTCCGCCAGCCGATGCCATGGAGACAATAATGTCGATAATAGATACGAAGACCAGGATACCATCCAGGACGTTCCAGCTGCTCTGCAGGTAGGTGTTCTCCCCAGAGAAAAAGCCAAGAGCTACCACCTGCAGCCAGGAGAAGACAGACATTTAAATCTTCACCCAGATCATAGCTATGTCATGTTCTGGTCTGTGCCAGGCCTCACTAGGGGCCACAGGATGAAGGTGTAATTACCTTAACCATCATTTCAGCCACAAAGATGGCAGTGAAGATGTAATTAGAAACACTTAGGAATATCCTTTCCTGTAAAACACAGAAGAACAAAAAGAGGCAAGTTATTTAAAGACATTAGGAAACAAACATCTTTCCTCTTGTAGGGTCTTGCCCTGACAAGACTGAGATCTGGATGCTGCATTAAGGAAGAAAATGACTCGGGTACTCACCGTGCTGTGTGGGTCTATGTCCGGCCGCTCCAGCGCTATAGTGATGCAGTTGAGAAATATGAAGACCAGCACCACATGATCAAACATTTTGTGAGCAATGACCTTCTGGCACATCACTCGGAACCTGCAGAAAAGGTGGGGAGAAAAAACATCCTTAGATATTTGGGTCAGCAAGAGACTCCCACCTGAACAGCCCATCCTGGAGAGCCTTCAGCAGCTGTGTCACCAGCATCAGCCCAGGTGCTGAGTGAGTCTCTCCACAAGCTTCAGCCCTTATTATCAGTAAAGGCAGTAAAAAAGATGTAAAAACAGCTATTATTAATGCTGGTTAAACCACTCTTCTCTCCTAGACAGGCACGGAGTGAACCATGCAACAATTCTGTCCACATGTAACAGGAAAAGTTACCTAAAAATCAGGAATTGGGTTTCTAAAACTCCCAGTGCTTCTGCATCAGAGAGGGATTTTTCTCAAGGGAAGGTTAGGTAGAAACGTAGCGTGCCATTACCACAAAAACCTGGCATTTCATTGGGATTTCTTACCGATTCTGTGGGGAAAACAAGTAGAGGGACCAGTCTTCATGACTCTTGCACCACTGTGGTTTGTAGGGCTCCAGGAATTTCCGGATCCGGTAGCAGTAACTCTGGACGGAAAAGAAGAAACACCTTTTCTTCCTCTTTTATTTTCCTGCCTCTGCAACTCTCACAGTCCTTTTGTGGCATTTCATAGCGCCCGTAGGCGGTCACGGATTTTGGGACAGAGCTGTGCCAGGCACTGCCACATTTGTCCAACAAAACAGGGAGGAAAGGGGTGGAAGAAAGGGGCTGCCATACAGCAAGATATGAACATGACACAGCAATACTTATAGGTAGGTATTATTTTGAGATCCAAAGTTGTATCAAAACCAAAAGGCCTCAAACAACCAAAAAGTTAAGTGGAAAACTCCTTCTAGGCTTTCAAGCCTTCAAGATGCCAAACAGCTCTTGTGAGCAAAGATGTTAGCTAGCTGTTGTTCCACAGCCCATTTCTGGGGACATCCTGGGCCACTGAGACCACCTCAACCAGTCCAAAAACAAGGCAAATGCATGCACATCCCCCTGCAGTTCTATGTAAGAGACCACTGCAATGTAACAGCCCAACCCACTACCTAAAAAACCTTTTAGGAAGTAGAGGCCCATCCCTCAGATCTGGATTCATGCTGTCCATGCGTTTAGGCAGTAACACATTTTCAAGCTGGATTTTTAATCAGCCTTCTTGGAGTGGAAAAGCCATGAGCACCCAATTTCCCCCTCAACTCACATCCTCCATGTCATCGTCGTAGTCCGCGGCGTCTTCCTTGTGGCCGTCGACACGCAGGAAGAACTCGCTGGGGACGTGAACCATCTTGCCATTGCAGTCCTGGTACTCGGCTGGCAGAACGGCCACGGGGCTGATACTGAGCGAGTGGCGCATGGTGGGCAACTGGAGCAGCTCGGGCAAGTCCAGGGAGCTGCGATAGTCCAGGGACTCTGCCCGGCGGTGCAACGAGGGCCTACTGACCGTGCTGGATTTGGCGTCATCAGAGTCATCGTCCGTGCTGCCTTTCCCCTCCCCGGAGAGCAAGGATTCTCTTTCCCCTGACTGGTTCTTCTTCTTCAGGCTCGGAGCTCTGCCCAGGCTATTCCAGCTTGAGCGTCGGCTTCCCCAGTTGCTGCTGGTGCCCCAGTTGGCGCAAGGGGAACTGCGGAGGCTGGACTGAGAGAGGAGAAAGACATTTGTGGGGTTGTTTGCAGGAGGAAGCCAAAGGATGTGGCATTTTGCCCAGATTGGAAGAGCCTCCTTGTTGCAAGTCAGGTCTTCCCCTTGCAGCTTTCCTCACTGCTCTGATTTCCTCATGCCAATGCCTTGAGATGGGAGCCAAGCACCCAGCTAAGCCCACACTGGGGTACTCCTTGAGCTACACCCGTAGCACACACTCTCTGTGCTGCGTGACCTCCTGGCAACATTAACTGTGCCCAAAATCACTATCACTGACGTGGCATTTTTCTTTCCTCATGTTGAAGTGGTTTCAGCCCACAGCTTCCCTGGCTTCCAAAGGGGCTCTGGCACCTGAGTCACCCAAGTGGCTGTTGGAAATTGTGCCCTCTTTTGCATCGCTTTCTCTTCAATTTGCTGCATGAGGAGATGAAATGAGTGTTTCTCTTACAGCAAATCTCTGGCACTGCTCGGTGTGTCAGTGCACTTTGGCTGGCAGGTAGGTGTCAGGATGAGAGCACTTAAGGTCAAAGCAGAAAAGCTAGAAGGAAAACTCTCCTTTTCCCTCCATGGCTTCCTCCCAGCACAAAACAAGGCAAACTGCCTTCCTCCTCCGTTTCAGTGTTGGCCAGCTCTCCGCTGACTGCTTCATCTTCCTTTGGCTGCTGGCACTGACGTGCTCTCAGAGAAAGGATTCAAACCACGAGCAATCCTCTCCAGCCACTCACAAGCCCATGAAACCCCGAGGCAAACAACAGTCATCTCTATTTTCTTTTCAAAAACATTACCTTGACTAAGCAGCTTACCAAAGGGGATAGTGGCTCTGTCTCTGTGTGAAGCGCCTTCACGGTCCACTGCCTTGATTTGAACATGATATTGCAGTTACAGAGCAGAGGAATGGGATAGATAAACAGCAGCAGAAATCCACTTTGTCTATTAACTCTGCTCCCTCTGCTTTCACAGAGCTGCCCTCCCGCTCCCAGTTGCCAAAGCAATCAGCTCCAGCCAGATCTCTGCTCTGTGAGCTGTGCCTGGTGGCAATTGCTCAGCTCATCCCTCGTTTCCTTTGTTTCCCCTCCAACAGGGCTGCTGTGTTGGTAAGGACGAATGCTTCATTCCCTTTGGAAGGTGGATTCAAGATGCAACCCTGAAACACTGTGGGGGGAAACAGGAACACTTGACAGCTCTCCAGGACACCACAAAGTGGCCAGCATGGTTGGCAAAAGATGTCTGTTCCTCCTCAGAGGGGTTTGAGGGAATAACTGCATGGACTTAAGACTTGTCTCAGGTTGTGGCCCTCCAGTGAGGTGGCCTGGCATGGAAAATACTGAGTCCCTGTACATCCCTGTCTCCCCATGTCATATACTCACTGTCCTTGACTGTTAGGTTGTCACTGTCCTGCCCCAGCATAGCACACCCATTCCTTTCTCCCTCTTGAGTTTGCTCTCCTCCTGATTTTCCACAACATTACCAGTCTATCATACTCCTTTTTATTTTCCAGCAACACGTGTCACACACACACACACACACACACACATATATATAATCTGTGCCACTTGCAGGCACTGGAGGGACAGTTGTCAGCAACAGGAACCTACCAAGGACTTCTGATCGTAGCTCAAGGGGTCTAGTGAAGCGTTACTCCCTCTCCTGGAGTCCACAAAAGTGTGCACTGAGTCCATGTGCGGGGAACACTTTGGCGTGGGCATTGGCGTGGCAGCCGTGCGCATGATGATAGGAGGTGGCATGCTTCCCCTGCCCTCCAGGTGTCCGTTTGGGGTGACAGCAAGGGAGTACATCTTCATCTCTGGAAAGAAAGGGAGAGAAAACTTGAGGTGAGTGCTCAGCTGCAGAAATCACTTTTCAAAAGGGACATCGCTCCTTGGGTCTCCTAGGAACTCTGCCAGAAGGAGATGAAATGCTGTGGGCAGTGAGATCTACTCCACAGTGCTGAAAGACGTAAGGCAAATGTCACCACCTTTTAAGAGGCTTTCAGCCCTGCCTGGACTTGGAACTCACTGCTCTCCAAAGGAAGCTTCTTTTGCTCGCAGTTCCTTGGGATTTAGAGAGCGGAGTTACAGCTTTGGTGGACTGGGAGAGAGTTTTCAGGGAAAGGACATTGAGGAGTTGCTAAATTCACCCCAGGAAGTGAATCTCCTTGTCATACAGTCCTGCACAGAGGTTTTTATGCAGTTGTGATGCACTCTAAGTTCCTTTGTGGGGAAGGCACTACGCAAACTTCAGTCATTGTCTTTATAATCTCTTCAGTGGACACGAAATGGAAGCTGCTTTTACACCTCCACAAGAGTAAACCTCCTGTAACCAAGAAATCTAATGGCACATCTCTGTGGGAATTGCAGGAAGCACCTATTTCAGCTGTATGGCAAATTTAGACTGCAAAATCACACTGAAGATGAAGCAGACACAACACCTCCAGCCCTACGGAGTGCAGTAACACTCAAAACCAGAGCCTAATTTCAAACAAAACTAAAGTTGAACTAGCACCTGGTTTATTTGGCTTAGTGGCTTCTGGTTTAATAACCACAGAAGCAGTCTTAAGGACGGAGAAAGATGGGAGCATCTGCAACCAGCAGGGAAGAAGTACAAGTCTGCAGTGGGAAATCCAAGCGAGTGCATTACCCTTGCCATTTTTCTTCCCCTGGCTGCTTTAGTAATGCGGTGTGCTCCTATTGTATCATCTGTTTAGCTGCTGGCTTGTGCACAAATACCTGATCTGCACCGCAGAAGTCCACGGGAACGCTGCCATTCACTTGGAGGGCTGGAAGATCCAGCTCAAAATTTGCTAATCTGCAATACAGGTTCCTCTTGCCAGCGTGTGTCTGTTTACAGACCGAAGGCATTGTAATAGAATTGTTAATGTCCTTATGCTGTTTAGTCACAGGTTGGCACCTATGAGGCTCATGGAGACACGTAATTACTCATGGCCTTGGACTGATGGCAAGTTCAGCCCTGGTTTACTCCTGTCTTACCTGGGAAGAGCTGGCAATATTTCTTTCCCGTAGAAATCTCTTATAATTTGAAGCTGCTCAGCAAATAGTTGGTGTAAAGGAAATTTAAGCTGGCCAACCCTTTGCAATGGACGTTCATTTGAATGCTTTGGTGTTTGCTGCTTCATCTGCAGACTGAGCAGCTCCATCACCTTGCAGTGATCCAGCTCTGTCTCAGCTTCCCCAACAAATTATTTCTGCTCTGTCCCCAGCTGAATTCCATCTGCTCACCACAATCAATATCATTTCCTTAGCTGAAACGAATCCTGGTTTAGAAGCACTTAAAGTAATCCCAACAAGAGCCTGAGCCGAGAACCAAAGTACAGAGGAACAAACCGGCTCCTGTTTACCATCCTGCTATTCACTCTGCTAAAATATGTGAACCTTTCCTGGCCCCCCATCTGGTTTCAAACCCTGCAGAGCAAAGGCTGTCACCTACTATTCCATGTTTATAGTACACTGGTACAACGTGGCCTTCCCTCAAATCAGTCGCCAGGCCCTCCTGTAACACAAATGAACAGCAACCTTTCCATCCATCAAACCTCACCTAAATGCATTTGTGTGAGAAACCCAAACGAACAGATGAGAACATGATTGATTTGAAAAGCTGCTGAGAAGTGGTGTGAGAATATCGCTGTCAGCAAGCCATTCTGTGGTAACGGTATAGGAGAAATGGTGAGACATGGCTAAATATTCTAGTATCGTTTAAACTAGGAAAACATCTGTTTAAAGGGAATATCAGTGCTCATTTAGCTCTCCCAACACTTTCTGCTTACCTGCTCTGTTAACACAGCAACCAGATTAGCTGCCAAACAAAATGGATTTTTCCACTTTCCCCCATAAGTTTCTATGCAAAGCCACAGTCTGCTGTAGCTGTAGCTCTCAGATTCTCAGGAAAATATAGAGACCAAATCCTACCTGTTGCCCGGAGGTCTTTTAGCTTCTCAAAATCATCATCGAAGTTGGCAGATGTCTTGTCCTCATCTGTGTCTGACCTATTGGCATCACCCTGCAGAGAGGAGAAGGACAATTAACAGACCTGATTCATTTAAACTTCAGCCCAAAGACCATCTGGATTACTCAGCAGCTCTGAGATACCTCAGGTCCCCATGGTTAGTTGAAGCGTGACCCAAGAATTAGGAGGGCAGGAGGCCAAATTCCCTCTGTCACTGCTCTGGGGAACGACCCTGGCTAAGTCCCTCTTCCTTGTTTTGATTAATTTTTGTCCGTGGACAGAAAGGATGATGTTGTGGTTGTGACCACTGTTCCTGCAATGTCATTCCCTTTCCTACACCGCCCAGCCTCACTGAACAACACGTCCCAGGGGGGAACATGAAAGCACAGCTGTAACCAGAGCCCTAAGAGAAATGGGCATTGGGGGGTCCCATATTTGCCCTCTCCATGAAAAGCTGAAAGCACTTTGGTTTTTACGTCAAAAGAAGTCGAAGGGTTTTTCTTCTTTATTTGACAGCACTGTAAATTTGACTGAGATCTGAAAACCTGGCCCTGATTCGCTTTCTTCACGCTTGCTGGTAATGGAGATTGTATTGGGAAATCTCTTGGCAACGTTGGAGCGGAGGCAGAAGGGGATGAAGGCAGCTTGTCTGGCAGCACAGCATCATCTCAGGACAGAGGACAGCCAACAACCCTCAGATTGTCTTTCCTCCTGCAAGTCCAGGTAGTTTTCCTTTCATTTCCCTGTCTCTGCTACCAAAAATGATCAGCCTAAATAATACATAAGCCTGGGCCGGCAGAGCTATTGACACGTTCTCCTCTGCTGGGGAAAACTGCAGAGAGGAGAGATTCCAGCAGGCTTTAGCTTGACTCTGGCTTGAGCCACCACGACTGCAGAAAAGCTGCACAAATGGGTAGCAAATGGTTGGATTAAAGCAGCCGATCCCAGGAAAAGGAGCACAGTTCCTTAACTGATACCTGAACAAATCCCCACTGTTTCTAGAGACATGGTGCTGAAGTGGCAGTGAACTTAATGTCAGCTGTGATGTACTGTGCAGCCAAACAGAGGGGATGACTGAAAGGCTTAAGCTCCCTTATCCATCTTCTCTGTTTTGGAGCAGAAGCAGTAGCCCAGGGTAGATGAAAGATCTGTACAGTTTTGGAAGGTTTGTCTGCTTTTCCAGAGCAGCTCTGAGGGAGATTTCCAAATGACATGGGAACAATGTAAGCACAAATAGGCAATTACGGTCCTGTTTGAAGTCTGGTTGCTTGTTCTCCTATGCACAAATGTACTAAAAATGGGTTTGTGGCCATTTAAGCCTATTCTCTTCTAGGGATACTCCTGCCAAACTTGCTCCACAAGGTGGATCAGGACCTGAGATCAAACTGAGACTGTGTATTGTAAATCCCAGTATAATTTTTAGCGTCCTCGCTGAAATGCTGCTGATGGTTCAGAGCTCAGAGCAGCTCTGATGTGCACCCTTTTAGCTGCTCCCAGGAGTCACTCTCCATGTAAGTGAAAGAAACACCTGAGCAAAGGGAGAAGTGGTGCATCTCTGTGTCTGCTGTAACTGCTAAGAGCATCACCCTGTAACATGGGCAAAGTCAAAGAGGTCAAAACAAGAATTTCTGCCATATTCCCAACATACACCAGAACCAGCGATGGCAAAAGAAAAGAAAACCCAGCTCCGCTGATGCTTCTTCCTAGGAGCTGTTCAAGGAAGACTGTAAACATCTCTGGTTTACAACCAGAGCCAAGGTATGCATTTGTAAATGCACGACTTGAATCGAGCCCTTGTAGCTGAAATACAGCCCTGAGAAGGGTTTTCTGTAGCACAGCAAATACCTCGCTACGAGACAGCTGACAAGCCCGCAGGCTTAATGTCAGGATTTAGAATAAATGGAAGTGGAGAGCAAAATGTGCCCTGCAAATGTCATACCTGTGGTTGCTGGCCTTTTCTGAGGCAGCGCTGAGTGAATAATACAAGCTTTGAAAACTGCTCCTTACACACATTTAAATCATGGTCTGTAACAGCTCTGAAAGGAGCCATTAAGCCATTTGGCCAGGTCTGTAACTGTGCACTCAGAGAGTATTGCATGAGGCTGCCCATTTCGGGCTTCACGTTAGCAGGGCATTCAACCTCCAAAAGGGCAGGTAAGGAATGAGAACTGTACCATACAAAGGTACCTGCAATCTGCAAAGTGGAGAAAACCTTCTCCTGCCCTAAAGCAATCAAGAACAAAGGGTGCAAACTGCTGGACAAGGGCTCTCTGTGCCGAAATGCAAGATTGCTTCAGCAATTTCCAGTCATCTGGGTCCCACATGGTTATTGTCTGGTTGGCTTTCCCTGGCATGTCCTCTTTTTTCCACCCAGATTTGCTGGTTGGTGGACTCTGAGGATATCTGACACATATCATTATTATTATTATTATCATCATCATCATCATCATCATTATTATGATTGTTAAACAGTGTCAGCATGAGCTCTGGTCATCCAGACATGGAGCACGGGCTTGTTCTTGGACCTTCTTGCTCTTCTTGGTCAGCTGTGCTGGATCTTCACGGGCTGACAAGACACCAGGATGTCAACAAACCCAGTGCAGAGCTGTTCATTTAGAAAGCCATGAGCTGGACCACTTGGGTCTTCTTTGCCCTCTGCATCCATGAAACAGCCCTGAGCGATGCAGACAAGAGTTGTCTTTTTCCAAACAGGGGCTTGGCTCCTGTTGTTTCAATTAGTTTTCCTCAGCTATTGCTGAGAGGAAGCTGGGAGAGATGTTTTAATAATGAATCTATGCGTACATCCTCGAAAAACAGGAATGTGGCTGTGCTGGCTTGAGAGAAGGGGATTTTTGGTCCATGAATATTTCAATTATACTCCATGGTCAGCAAAGGTTTGTTTGAGTGTGATCTAAACACGGCAAATGAGAACATAATACCATTTCTGGGGGGAAAAAAATTAAAAAATCCTATAAAAATAATTTATTTCTTCTCTTGGGAGCTAAGGCGGTGAAAAGCGAAGCCATTTGCTCAGTTTCCTTCCGAGTCTGGGTGTCTCTGAAGCCAATCCAGCACTAAGCAAACTTTCCCTTCCCCATGGTTGCAGAAATAAAAAAGCAATAATTAAAAAATCCCGAAGTGCCACACAAGCCCTTTCAATGCCGCTGTTCTTAGCTTTAAATGGGACTGGATGATTTTTGGCAAGACTCAAAATCCTTTCCATTTGCACTAGCGCTTTGAAAAAGGTAATTTTTTCTGGGTAATACATATGTGCACATATATCATTATATTTACAACTGAAACAGATCCTCCTCACTTTAAGATCTCCCCCAAATGGACTTGCTGTGATCTGGAAGGAAGATGGAGAAGAGCAGGATAGGGCAGGGGGTGGCTGGTTTCACTCTCTTGGGATGCTGAAAGTAGATATGGGGTGGACTTGCTGGTGGGGACGAAAAAGCCAACGGCATCTTGGCTTGTATTAAAAACAGTGTGACCAGCAGGGCCAGGGAGGTGATCATCCCCCTGTACTTGGCACTGGTGAGGCCGCACCTCGAGTGCTGTGTTCAGTTCTGGGCCCCTCACTGTAAGAAGGATGTTGAGATTCTGGAGCGTGTTCAGAGAAGAGCCACAAGGATGGGGAGGGCTCTGGAGAACAAGCCTGATGAGGAGCGGCTGAGGGAACTGGGCTTGTTTAGCCTGGAGAAGAGAAGGCTGAGGGGAGACCTCAGCACCACCTACAACTGCCTCAAGGGAGCTTGTGGAGAGGTGGGTGCTGGGCTCTTCTCCCAGGTGATGGGGGATAGAACAAGGGGAAACGGCACCAAGCTGTGCCAAGGGAGGTTCAGGTTAGAGATAAGGAGGAAGTTCTTTCCTGAGAGGGTCGTCAGAAGCTGGCACAGGCTGCCCAGGGAGGTGGTGGAGTCACCATTCCTGGATGTGTTTAAAGAGCGGGTAGACGAGGTACTTAGGGATATGGTTTAGGGGGTAGACAGGAACGGTTGGACGTGATGATCTCAGAGGGCTTTTCCAACCGAGCGATTCTGTGATTCTGTGACCCCCACTCACCCCAGTACTGTACCACTCACACCAGTATGGCCTGCTGCTCAGGTTCATGTGGCACACACAGGACTGCCTGCACAGCTGCCAAGGCTCCTGTGTAGTTCAGATCAGGACATGGCATAACACTTTTGACTGAAAAAATAAAACCATTTCTTTGATCCTTTCCATGTGAGATGAGATGAGATGCCTGCAGTTTATCATCAATTCCCTGCTCATTGACCTGATGCAGACATTATTTTCAGGTGTAAGTAAAAACCTCTTTAGTATTTACATACCCTACATCATCCTAAGTCTCTCAGAATTGAATGTTTGTAACCTTGCAACACAGCTTTTGAACAGCAGTGCTGCTCACCTCAAATAACACGTATGGGACAGAGTCACAAGGAAAGGCCTGGTTTGAGAGCCAGTTCACACCCTACCTGGTTTAGCATTGGTAAATACATTGAAGGCATGAAGCCCACCATAAAGAAACAGAAAATACAGGACATATGGGAGATTAGGTGAGTTAAAGCCATTCTAAATTATTTCCTCTAGGTCACACAATGGACTCTGTGGGACATCAACCAAAACGTTGGTCTCTCAAGCCCCATGCCAAGTTCAGTGGGCCTTATTTGCAAAGACATATTCACAAGAGCTGCACATGTCCAACCCAGCTCATTTACACCTCTTAAATTTAAATTTAGGGCTGCTTGCATAGCTGGATGTTTGCACTGATGTGGACCCATCCCTACACTCTTGCCTACGCATGCTTCTCAGTTTTCTCTCTCCCTCTGTCCAAATCTCTTACCTCTGCCTGGAAGCCTTCGACCAGAATGGCAACGAGCAGGTTGAAGAGCACATAATTGCCGAAAGTCATCAGGGCCACGAAGTAGAGAGCTGCCCATGAGGATGTAGATGCCATCCCGTTGTACAGGACCACGTTCCAGTCCTCTTGAGTGAGGATCTGCAGAAAGGCAAAGGGGAAGACTCTCTAATTACTCCACTTCTATGCACAGCATTCAAATACTGACTCATCCATTTCTCCCTCTCCTTTGGACCTTTTCTGAGCATAATCATTAGCAGGTCTGATGACACAGCAAAACATTCCTTTATTTAGGTCTTTGCACTGAGAGCTCTCTCCTGGCCAAACCTCTCATCTCTGCAGGAAGATCCAGCCCATATTGATGAGTTCAGCTCCTAGATATGGGAACACGAAGGATGTGCCATTATTTGGTGGTGGTATTGCCTCCTTTGATAGCCATAACAGACCTGAGGCCAGAGCTGTTGTCTCCTTTCCTGCTGCTCTTTATAAGGCATCTGGAGCTGAAGGAAAGGGTAGGGACATGATATTCAATGAGGTAAATGACATGGGGTGGCTCAAGAAACCCAGAGAAGTAAAGTGGTTTCCGTTAGGTAAAAGCATTGACAAGCTGGGCAAAAAAAAATAAAAATACATTTTTGTAAAGCCTTGCTCCAAGAGATCTTCCTCAGGGATTCCCACTCTCCCGGAGCTCAAAAATCCTGAGGCCTAAGAAGAACAGATGACGCATTCATACACCACATTAATTCATGGTGACAATGAAAACGGCCTGTGACCCTCCTGAGAACAAGGTGGCTTTGGGGACAGGAATGCAGTCAGCTGCACTGCGTCGTGCCAGTCATTAACCTTCACGGGACGTGGGGCTGAGCCCCTGTGCTCTGTGCCAGCTCTATTTGCCCATGGGACTGTCAGAACCAATGCAGAAACCTGTATTTATGTTGGAAAAGGGAAAAATAGGAACCTATGAGACTAATGCTGATTTCTCCTTGCTCCTCTGTAAGAAGGAAAACTTTGCATGAAGTTATATTCTTCCCAAGGAAGACTCTGGACTGGTTTCTACCTTGAATGTGGTGAACACCTTTACTCTGCATTTAGAAACTCAGCTTCATATTTGTTTACACTGTCCTCTACTTGGGCTCTAAGGATTGAACTGTTAAGGAGAAAAGACTGATCTTTAAATTTAGAATGTCCTAGAAATAGCAGCTTATTGCTCCACTGTGGAATATGAGGGTGATTTCAAGCACACAACAGACTGTCTGCAGACAGACACAACTTTTTATCCAAAGACTTTTCCAGCAACTCCAGCCCTGATTTGCAACAGTATTTCTCGCTCCCAGTTAAATGAAATTATTTGCAAGGTGAATTTTTGGGGCAGTGAAGGCAAGGAAGGAGACAGAGATCTACAAAATAGGAGCAGAATACACAGCAGACTGTGGGTCTTGATCTTACCAACTATATGAAAGGAAAATAAGGGTGGATTTCCAGGCCTTCTTAGACTTTCCTTTCACTGACAATGGATATGCTCTGCAGACTGCTTCTCTATCAGGGCTTTTAGAGACCAGCGCACCCAGAAACACGATCATTTTGCCCTAATAACTCTACAGTGCCATTTCAGCCCAAATTTGACAACTGCTGGAACAGGGTTTTGGTTTTTTAATAAGTGAAATAACTTGTCTGGGTGGTTTACATTAAAACTTCCCAGAGGATCCAGATCTTACCTGAAACACGGTCACGATGGCCCAAAGTAAGGAGTCAAAATTCTTTCTGTCTGGAACTGTGTCTCCTGTATCAGTTTTCAGGCTGAACTTGCACCCAAAAAGATGCATACCGAGAATGCTAGAGTGGGGGAAAAGGGAGAAACACGTTATTGGGTGAAATACGGCTGCAGGGAGGACTGCAGTGATGTTTTGGATGCTTATTCCCCCTCCCAGCGAACGATTAATCGAAGCAGAGCAGCAGCCTCTGGTACCTGAAGATAAAGATGAAGAGCATGAGCAACATGCAGAAGGTGGCCACGTTGTCCATGGTCTTCATCAGGACCACGAGCTGGCGACGCAGGGCGGGCATGAAACGCACCAGTTTCAGCACCCGGAGCAGCCGAAAAGTTCGTAGCACGGAGAGGCCTCCGTCAGACTGACCGATGATCTCCCAGACACTGCAGGAACAGCAGAAGAACGACGGTAAGCAGCAGTACTGCACTGTGAAAGCCCTGAGCAGGCTGGTTTCATACAGGATATCACATTGTTTATGTCCTAAAGGGGTGGTTTATTTGCCTGCTGCTTTCTTGCCTCTGAAAAACACCTTCACCTCCCAGCTGTGCAGACACACATCTCATGCACAACCCATACCCTTTACAGCTGGTTTCTTAGTTCTCTAATGCCCTTGCTTTCTGCGGCTCTTCACAACACAGTGTGTCTCCTGCTAGTCTGCATCGCTACAGTCAGTCACAAGCCTAGCCAGAAAACGTGGATCACAGTTTAGTACCAATAATATCCAGAGGGATTTATGTTTGCTAGGGTGGCTTGTTGTGATCAGCCCAGACTGGTCTTTGCTGTGGGCCTCTATTGCTCCTCACTTCTCTGAATCAAACCTGAAGCCACGAGCGCTATCCTGCGTTATATCTTCTCTGTCTGTCCTGACTTCTGTGCCCCAAATTACTTCTCACACACGTGAGACATCCTCAGTTTAGGCTGAAGCTGTGTTCCCCCAGGAGCAGCAGGATGGTGCCCTCTCTTACCCTTCTGCTTGCCTTATTTTAGCCCGAGTTGTGTCAGTCCAGGAGAGCGAGGGCGCATTGCTGGGATACGGATGTTCCCAGTACTCCTTTCCCAGGACCAGCCACCCTGCACTTCAATGGAAAATTGACCACAGTGCCAGATGTGCGGCGTAAATAGACTTTGTTCTCCATCTGCCAGGTCCATTTACTTTGGACAGCCCTTCTAATGACAGGAATCTAAAAGGCTGGAATAATTATAGCACATCATGGCCAGCGAGTCCTGGATTAGCACGTGCCACGTCATTCCTGTTCCCCATCCCACTCCCCAAATGGTCTGAGCCCTCGGCAGAAAAGCCACAGGGCAGAAAGAAGCGGCACTGACCTGATGACAACTATGATCCCATCAAAGATGTTGTACGGGTTCTTGATGTAGCCGAAGAGGCCAAAGGCAAGGAGTTTCAGGAGCATCTCCAGGGCGAACATGCTTGTGAAGACGATGTTGCTGATCTCCAAGGCGTTGGTCAGCTCATCTGGCTATGGGGCAAAGAAGCAACAAGGTCAAAGAGACGCACAGAGGAAATGGCTAAAGGCTGGGACGTTCCTCCCGCTCTGGGATTCGATGCACAAACCCTGTATCTTCCCCTGTTTCTTCTAAAGAGCCATGGAGGCAGAGAAGTGTCTGAGGGGAACAGCAGAGGAGCCTCACGGGCAGCCCCTGTGAGTCTTACTAAAACCACTGAATCCCAGCCCAGTTTCTGGAGCAGTTGCAGAACAACCCTGCCCAGTATGAGGGCCCAGCAAACCAAAGCTATGCAAAGGAGAGGGCTTGTTTGCTGTTGCAAGACACAGTTACCCAGGTGGATGTGGCTAGCATGGCTTGTAGGGCTTCTGTTTGCACATGCATCAGTCAGACTGGTTTTATTGCACTAACCCCAGCAGAGCTGTATGGATTCTGCTATATCCCAAGCAGGAGCACTGTCAATACAACATAGCCCTGCTCACATACAAACAAAGCGCTTGCAGAGATCTGTTAAGAGAATTGGGAATCAAATACCAGTGGAAGTCAGTAGGATCAACAGTTTTATCATCCTTGAGATATTTCTATCCCGTTGGAAATTGTCCAAAAAAATCCCAAGATTATTTTTCCTCCTGAAGTCCTTGTTAGAAACCTACAGTGGGTTCTGTCGAAATGACAGCAATATGGTCCTGAATGTCAGAAATCCCTCCAGGATCAGCGTGGCTTTCTCTGTGCGTACAAGACCTGCGTGCCCCTTAAATCCCAGAACTGATTTTTCCATTGCCCTCTTCCGTCCCCAGCGCCAAATGACCTGGGTTACAACCTTGCTTTTCAGACACAGCCTTAGATGTTCCTTTCCTGGAAAGCACAGAGATGTCTGCCCAGTGCCCAGGCTCCCAAATGGGACATAGTAGGGACAGATGCCAAAGGTAGGATGGGGTTCACTCACCGGAGCTGCTCCCTCAAACAGCACCAGGCTCTGCAATGCGCATTTCTAATGTTCAAAGCCTGCTCTTTTACAAAAGAAAATGAGCCTTTTCATTTCCTCAGTGTAATAATATTGTCTAGAAAAAGGTGTTGTTTTCATATCTGACTCATCTCCTGACTGATAGCAGCTTCCTTTATTCCCCATCCATCACTATGTGAAAAGTTGACAGTTTCTTGAGGATGCTGTTGCATTATTTGAGGCTCTGAAGGGGGGTGACCATTTAACACTGTGGCACCGCCACGTTTTACTCCACGCTCTGCAAACGCAACCTTTGGCAATTGAAGGAGGGGGTGAAAGAGTTAACTCGAATGCAGGCAGAGCCCACACATCCCCTATGATAGGCAGCGACAGCCTGTGGGCTGCTAATGAACCATCATTCATAGGCTAAATCACTTTATGCAACAGACTGTCTTTTGCTCAACCATTTACCCAGGAGAAAGAGCACTAAGAGCCTCAGTCCTTGTGATTATAATCCATATACACTGATTGCTAAGGGACACTGGGGAAAGAGCGGTGCCATTTTCAGTCCTTTTGTCTCTAGCAAGGGGTGGCCACCATGGCTGCAGAGTGCACCTGGGTGGTGATTCCCTCCCAAATACCCATCAGTGCTCACCTGCGCTATTCCCTTTCCCAATCATAAAATCACTGAATGTGAGGAGTTGGAAGGGACC